CAATACCCATTTGACTATTTGAGTATACCTTACGATGATATTTATCCATTCATTCAAAAAAGACAGATATCTAACAAGATACCCATGCATTATCACACAGGTCAATAATATTTTATTTATTATTATTCAAGTTTTCTATAATAACGAATAGATAAACAATCTTTTGAAAACTCAAAACAATAGACAATTGCTCTGGAGTTTTTGAAATGCAATACACTTAGGGTCTGTTTGCAACAGCTTCTGCTTTTTAAAAAGTGCTTTTTTAATGAAATGGAGAGAAGTGATTAAATAAAAGTTGATAGTGTTTGAGAAAAAAGTGATTTTGAAAAGTAAAAGTGGGTAGTGTTTGGTAAAATAAGTGCTTTTTTGTGTAATAGAAAAAGTAAAAACACTTTTGACGCGGAAGCCGAGAAAAATAAAAGTTGTAGTGTTTGGGAAAATAAATGTTTTTTTAAAGCCAAAAGCTCAGAAGTGCTTTTTTAAAAGCGGTTGCAAACCAACCCTTATATTGAATAGGCCAATCCATATATGCAACACAAAAGGACGAACAACCTTTAATAGGCCAATCCATTACAATTATAGAAATACGGAGTAATAATTATTATTTGAATAGTAATTCAAAATTTCACATTTAAATTATATTGTACCATGACTAAACAGATCAATATCTATTGACAAATATCATTTTGATTTGTACATATTAATCCAGATCTATACCCATACAGATTGATTCTCCTGAGTTTCTTTGTCGAATTGAAGTGACTCTAACTCGAGAGCAACAGATGTGTGGTTATATCATAATCTGCAATAAATAATATAAAACTATTATTGAGATTCATATTTTCTTTCATCTATGAAATAATACCTAGCTAATATAAGACGACAAAAATGAGGAATTGAGAATAAATGACGAAAATATGCAACTGCGTATAATTCATAAAAACAAAATCTGTAGCAACCTCTATAGTGACTTGTAGTCACTCTTAATTAGGATGACTATGTCCATGAGAAAAGACAAATTTCCTTTAATAAGAGTAAAACATATATATCTTTTCCGATGTATAAAATAAACGGAAATTGTCCTAAATAGGACTAAAAAGTTCCTAAAAAGCACAAATAGGACTACTATTTTTAAAATTCCCTAAATAGGACTAAACATTGATTTTCTACCCTAAATACCCCTAAGAGTATTAATTCATAATGAAATGCTTTAATTCATAATAAAATCACAAAAAACGTAAAACAATATTTAAAAAACGTAAAAAAATTAAAAAAAATTTATAAAACATTTATAAAATAAAAAATTTAATTTTTTATTTTTTTAATTTTTTTAAAAAAATAATAAAAAATAGTAAAAACCCATAAAAAATGAAAAAAATTATGGATACCTTTCTCACCGCCTCCCGCCGCCTCCCAGCACCACCACCTCCGATTGGTGAAATTTCTTCCACTTTTGGTAAAAAAATGCCATATTTTTCTGAAAATGCCAAAAAGATGGCATAATTACTCTTCAATATGCCAACATTTTCATTGATTATGCCATCATTATGGCATTATTTAAAATGTTGGCATATTTTTGTCCGGTGATGGGAGATGGTGGTGTTGGGGGTGGAAGGGGTGGTAATGTGTTTTTTTTAATTTTATGATTTTTTTTATTTATTTTATATTTTTTTTAAAAAAAATATTTTTTTATTTTTTTTAAAAAATATTTTTATTAATTTTCTATTATTTTTTTTTACGATTTTTAGTATTTTTTTCGATTTTTATTAATTTTTTTATGATTTTATTATTAATTAAAACATTTCACAAGTTACAGGGTATATTTGTCCAAACACACATAAATAGTCCTATTAAGGGAATTTAAAAAATGTAGTCCTATTTGTGCAATTTTTCCACTTTTTAGTCCTATTTAGGGAATTGACTCTAAAATAAAAGTAAAACATATATATATCGTATAAAAGGACCATTATTGATTTGTTTCAAAAAATTGTTCATCCACTCATAATTGAGCAATTTTGAGAATAAAAAATATGGTTGCTCCTAGTTATGCCTTTAATCTATATTTTGACTCAAATTTAGAGCAATTTCTTATAAGAAACTAATGCTTCCCTACTTAACCTTTCTATCCTCCACCCAAGTGTAGAACTCAGAATTCAACAAAAAAGACATATAAACACAAATACAAAGAGAATAGCATCCATGAACCCAAATAATATTTAGACGGAAAAATTCTGGAAAAAAGAATCAAAGTTAACATGGTCAGAGAAATCTGAAAAGTTTGAAATTGTAAACGTTTTAAGAAAATGAATAAAATTTGAAGTTGGAAATATCTGAATTTTTTTTCTCTTAATGAAGGGTATAATTGTCTTTTGAGGAGCTATTTGTTTTCTTATAAATAAATAGACTTGAAAAATAATATCATATTTAATAAGCGCAATTATTGTTAAGTTTGAAAAATACCCCTATATAGAAAATGAGATCATGACACATCTATTTTCAAATATACAAACATTTTACTCCTATATAAAGCAATTTCCCTGACTTTTTACAGATGTTTTACTAAAGCAATTTCCCCGACTTTTTACAGATGTTTTACTCAAATTTGACTGGGCCTCTTTTCGCTCACGACTAAATCAAAATTTTCATGTTAATTTTTTAAACTATTATCAATAAATTAAATATTTTTTTGGCTTGACTTTCTAGACTCTTATAATATATGTTCAATACTAACATGCGTGATAGAGATGAGTTCCGAACTTGTGACCTGCTCCTTAGGTGTACGACATACATTAAATAATTACAAATTACTTCGTATATATTTAAAAATAATCAATAATGAAAATTGTTGAGATTAAAAAAATAATCAAATTTCACAGGATTACAAAACCACGTCATATTTTACATCAAAGTTATAAAAATTGAATTGTATATAAAAAGAAGAACGAAATCTGCAACAATGATGTGAAAATTATAGTTCAATGTATAGTGAGTTGGACCTCTGGTGCACAATGTATATTTTACATCAAAGATGTTCCCGCTTTCCTTTTTTGGATGTCCCAAAAAGAAGTTCCTCTTTCCCTAAATGGAAAGTTATCATACATCAAAACAGTGCCAAAGAGTGTCTAAACAGTGCCAAGCAGTGTCTAAATAGTGCCAAACAGTGTCTAAAAAGTAAAGTCAAATTTATTTTCTAAATATGTGTGTAGGTCAAACTGGGAACATCTTTGCGGGACGGAGGGAGTATATTAGTGTATCACTATTGGATCGATTGAGTAGAACCTCTCATATGTTTGTAGTAGGCCTGAGACTGGTTCATTTCTTACTCAAATCGGTGGAACCGTTAAAAAAATTTAACTAATGAAATCAGTTCGGTTCTTATGTAAAAAATCAAGAACCATAATCGAACCAATACTAAACGGTTCATGTTCTTACTTTTTGGTCTTCGAGTAATTTTTCTTCATCTAATAAATGAGCACATTATTTGCTTTCTACCACATACAAATTAAAAAAACAAGTATTAAAATTTTATTTACAGCTCCAAACTTCAAACATCAAAGCTCAAACTTAACTACGTGAACACTTAATGGGATAAAAGAAAGTTTCAATTTTCATTTAATAAGTAAAACATAAAAAATTGTAGTTAAGATATGAAGGTTGTTCATCATCACAATAGCAAGATATGACATTCACTCCAAGTCTTTCAAAACTTAAAAATACTTTGAGTTTGCATGTATAGTTATAGAAACATCATTACAGTCTATTTGCTAGTAGTATAATTTACAATAAATCTAGTTTATAAGATTTATTAAAGATAGTGAAGTAAAGTTTATGCAATCAACTACAAGTTATTTGAGTTACTTTATATTTATAAAATACTTGTGATTTAACCAAACTTGATTTTGTAAAAATGAGCTTAATGTATTCAATATCATGTCCAATGTTGATTACTTTTGTTTTCGTTAGTTAAATTATATTAGAATTGTTGACTAAACATCACTCATTGTACTATTATTGTTGATATTATTGTTAGGAAGAATTTGACATTGCACCCCATATTTTGGGTGATATTTGACTTTGCACCCTATATTTAAAATCATTAATGTATGCACCCCATCAACCCAAAAATTGTGAAGGAATGAGGTGCAAATTCAAATGATTTTATAGTGAATTGGGATGCATACATTAATGATTTTGAAAATAGGGTTCAAACTCAAATATCACCTAAAACATGGGGTGCAAAGTTAAATTCTCCCTTATTACTATCAATACTATAACTATTTTTATTATTATTTTTTAATAATGGTTCCTTAATGATTTCGAGCACATATTTGTTATAAGAATCAAGAATTGAACTGTTAGTAACAACTAGGAACAAAACCGTTAACAACTAATACTCACTTCGTCTCATTTAAAGGTTCCTATGTCAAAAAGGCACGATTATCAAGAGAATAATTAAATATGCTAATTCGAGTATATTTTGAGAAATAATTTTGATGAGTATATAATATTATGTGTTATTGATGATAACTGTGATTTTATATATTTTTAAGTATTTGATGATTAAATCGTCATTCAAGAGTATTAATTGTTTCATAAAATAGAAAATGAGAATCTTTAAGTGGAACGTACAAAAAAGAAAAGCGGGAACTTTTAAATGTTGCTAACCTTTAAATTTGTAGAAACCGAACCGGATTTTAACGAATCGGTCCCAACATGTTCTTGGTTCCAAAATGTGACCCCTAGTCTGTAGAGTTGGGGCTCGACGATCATGGGGTTTGGCCGTTTGGAGGATTCAACTTTTTTGGGAGGAAAGTTATAAAAATTAAAATTGATCGTGGTGTTCTAAAATCATGTGAATTACAGGTGTGAATTATTCATCCTTGTAATCAGGACACTAATCTATCATCAATCCTTGTAACCAACTTAGAACAGATGACTCAACTTGTTATTGTCACTAAATCTGTAAACCATCCTTTAAATAATCATCAAGTTCAATCACTCTAAATTGGAGCTTTATGAAGGCCTATAAATAGGAGCTTAAAGAAGCTTTAAAAGCAGATGGCCTTATCGGCTAGATTGGCGTCGCCAGTTTTTCTGTTCCGTCACGTGCACCATTGGCTTGCACGAGATTCTTCTTCTTCCTTCATACGCAACCCAGGTCTCCACCTTGACCGCCTGGCACAGCCATCTGCCTTCAGTTCACTACGAATCGCTGCTAAAAAGAAGACAAAGGTTCGTCTTACAGTGAGAGCTCATTCCACATCACCGGAAGTAGTATCCGCCGCAAGAATGGTGAAAGCTGTTATGGTACACGAGATTGGTAACCCTGAGGTTTGTCCGTTTCTATATTTTTTCTGATTAGGACGTTTCACTTCTACTTTTCTTAATATTTGCTGCTTTAAAGTCAATTAGCTTATTACAGGTCCGTATTTAGTTACTAACTGAACAGCGCTTTTGGTTATAGGTCCTCAAATGGGAGGATATTGAAGTAGGAGAACCAAAGGAAGGAGAGATAAGGGTGAAAAATCAGGCAATAGGCCTCAATTTTATTGATGTACAGTTTCGCAGAGGGTCTTACAAAGCTAATAGCTTTCCATTTATACCAGGTTTACTTACTGTCTTACTCTATCATAGTATATGTTAGAGGATCTGCTTAAAGATATCATTTTTTTTATAACTCTACTGTGGATGTCTTTGGTTGTGAAATGATTTATGTAGCTACTGCCTACTATTGATAACCCTCTCTGCAATATAATTAAACGTGGATAAAAGAATAATCAGTGATTAAGTAGTCAGCTTTGACTTATCCTTCTTATCTGCAGAATAAGTAGAGCTTGTGATGTGCTTATTTGGCTTAAATGAATTTTAAGAAGCACCCGGCCTTTTAAAATATTCAGTAGGCCCTGCCATTTCGGCCCAATAATTCTCAACAAACAGGACTAGAATTTTTAGGGGACCACAATCTCCTAATGCAATTCTGATGATACTTTTTTTACAAGGTAGCATATCTGTATTTAACAAAAAGATCAAAGTCTATATAGTTTAAGAAAAGCCATGTTTAATATCTTCATTACAGGCAAGGAAGGTGCTGGAGTGGTGACAGCTGTTGGTCCTGGATTAACTGGAAGAAAAGTTGGGGATGTTGTTGCTTATGCTGCCTCCCCAGTGGGGGCGTATGCTGAAGAACTGATCCTCCCTGCAAATATAGTGGTTCCTGTTCCTCCCTCCATTGACTCCACCACAGCAGCATCTGTACTTCTGAAGGGAATGACAGTTCATATGTTAGTTCGCAGATGCTTCAGGGTACACGCTTAACCATTTCCCAACTTCTCAACAAGGGACTGCAGTAACTGGGACAAGCATAATTAGATCATATTCTCAGGGTTCTAAGTAATTAAATGCTTGATCAGCATTTTTTTTACACAGGAAAATCGTGGCCCTGTTTGGTAAAGAGTTTCTCGATGGCTTTTGGCTTTTTCAATATGAATTGACAGTTTTTTGACCATGTCATCATTATCATTACCCCAGTGCAGTAAAGGTTCTCACCTACGGTAGGGTAAGGGGGTCGGATGTACGCCGTCTTACCCCTTTACTAAAGCACAGAAAGACTGTTCCCGGATGACCCATAGTGAAAATCACGTCCAAAATTGCATAGACTGACAGTTGTTTCATAACAAAGAAGCGCAGACAGTTTAGTGAGCCATTTTGCTTTATTCCATCATATTTTCAATCCAAAACATAGTGAATCTTTGGCTCCATTGCAAATGATGGACATAGTTTTTTGACCATGTCAAATTGCTAATTTATTGTAGTAGTTGGTAACAAGTCCAACAGATTAGCTAAAATAACAGGGAAGGCCCGGCCCATCTTCACAACGCTAGCATCGAGAAGTTTTTTGAAAAAAAGTGTTGAAAAGCTTGTTATTTTGCATATGTATACATTCAAAGTTTCAAACAACAACAAACTAATAGATATTACCAAACAACTCTACATTAGCAACTAAAGTAAAATGTCGGTTAAGTACATAATATAAATAGCTTATTCCAACTGCGAAGGTAAACATATAATAGCACATGCAAACAGTGAATTGCTAAACAAGGCAACTTCCATGCAATGATGAAGAAAGGCTGATATTTTTTGTTTCATGTATTGAGGTCTTAGATATCGCTACGGGTATAACAGAATTTCTCTAGTCTCAGAAAATCCAGAAGAAGTCATTAAGTATTGGAAAGTATAGAAACTTTTTGAGAAACATCCTGAAGTGTCAACTGAATTTTGGAGTAGTAATGTTAATATCATGATATTTTCTCAAAAACTTACAAATATGCAGTTTGGATGTCCTGATAGATTTATGGTATTGATATCGAAACATCCACCGTTTTCCAGATATTGATGTACCTATATATCTATGAATACCAATATTTTCATCCTTGCATGTATGTCACTGTCACACTTGGCTAGTCCGTGGGTAGCTGACCCTCACCCTTTTATCCTTGTTACTTGTCACTTTCATCCTTAATCAAAAGGTACATTGAAATTTTGAAATTGTTGCATTCTCTGAGTGTGATAGCTTACATGATTTTTTAGGTTGAACCTGGACATTGTGTTCTTGTTCATGCTGCAGCAGGTGGGGTTGGCTCCCTTTTGTGCCAATGGGCAAATGCGCTTGGTGCCACTGTCATCGGGACTGTCTCAACTAAAGAAAAGGCAGCCCAGGCAAAAGAAGATGGGTGCCATCATACCATAATCTACAAGGAAGAGGATTTTGTGTCCCGTGTGAATGAGATCACATTCGGAAAAGGAGTCGAAGTAGTCTATGATTCTGTTGGAAAAGACACCTTTCAGGTACTATGATCATGTCATGAATCATGATTAATTCTTAAATGAAACTAATGAATATTTCATCAAATTAGCAAGTACTCCGTAGAATCTAACAATTGGTAGCTTTCTAGTGCAATTTGAATAATGCTATTTGAGTTCTTTCAACCTAACTTTTTAAAGGATTTACACTTCAATCTGTAGAAGGATGGCCTCGTTTGGCTACTCAAGTTGTGAAAATGAAGTGAAAATTGTATGTTAATGATTCTAGACTCTAGAGCCTTAATAAGCCTTGTTTATTTTTTTGGGGTGTGGGGCGTCCATGCCCTTCGCCTCCAACTCTCCACTCAAAAAGATTCTTGAAGAGTTAAAAAGAACTGGCATCATAACATATTTGGTAAAAGTGATGATTCCTCACAAGCCTCATTATTATTATTAATTTATTATCATTATAATTATCATTATCAACACCTTAATCCCAGCTAGTTAGGTTCTGTAGCATTAATGCTCTAGTGTTAAATGCTAATTATGTGTATAAAGTTATTAAAAACTATAAAGTCAATTCATGCAGAACTTAAAAGCATACTTGGCAATGTTACGCTGGATGCCCCTTTAATGAGATGAAAACTGTAGAATCATTAACATCATAGATTATTTCTTTATAATTTATGAATGCTTTTTTGGTGGGTGATTAGGGATCCCTGGAGTGCCTGAAAGTGCGTGGATACATGGTGTGTTTTGGACAGTCATCTGGAGCACCAGATCCTGTGCCTTTATCATCCATCGGAGCAAAATCTCTGTTTTTGACTAGGCCCACGTTGTTTCAATACACAATGACACGTGATGAACTGCTAGAATCTGCTGGCGAGGTATTTTCCAATGTGTCGTCAGGTGTGCTAAAGGTTCGTGTCAATCATAGCTATCCGCTATCTCAAGCGGCTCAAGCTCATGCTGACTTGGAGGGTAGGAAAACAACTGGATCCATTGTCCTCATCCCTGACCAGCAGTGATCTTGTTATCGTGGAAAAAGTTTTGTGGAACTTAATACAAAATTCTCAGAGGCCATCTGGCTTATTATCTGGTTTGGTGTATGTGTGATGTGCTTGCACTTTGCAGAATCTCTTTGAATGCCAAATACGTAGTATGTATCTATTTAAACTTTAAAGGCTGTTTTCCGATGTCGTACAACCTCCACTACTGTATGACACTATGAGTTATGTAGCTAGTGATGGCCTCGGTGCGGGCCACCCGACCCAGGAACCGGCCTGGCCCGGTACTGTGTGGGCCTGGCTCGGGAACCGGGTACCAGTTCCGGGTCTAGGCCCGGTTTAAGGATGAAACCGTGGCGGTTCTGGGATAGATTAAATGTGAACCGGCCCGGCCGGGCCCGGTTCGGGCCTTTTTATTATTATTTTTTGGTTTGGGCTGGGTTTAAAATTTTAAATGGGCTGGGCTGGGTGTTTCTGATGGGTTTGGGGGGGGGGGTAGGGGATGAAATAATCAAAAAACAAAAAAAATACAGAACTGGACTCGGCCCGGATCCGGTAGACAACCGGGCCGGTCCCGGGCCTAAACCATTGCCATCCAGACCTGGCCGGGCCTAGGCCCGACCCGGATCCTTCCGGACCCGGGTCCATCACTATATGTTTCTAGCAAGGTTTCCTATGGAATTAGTTAACATTTTCTCAAATCCCCTCTAGGCCCTAGCATTTGTGACCGGATGGAATTAAACTTAATGTTCTTTTGGTAGGATATTTTTTGTGGAAGGTCAGTCCCAAATCCCAATCGTGTAAAGTGGTACTCCGTATAATCACTCGATTTACTATTTTTTTTGAACTCCAACTGACTGATATATCAATTCACCAAATCATGCGCCTACAGGCTTACAATAGAGTCAGCCAGTTAGGAATACTATCATACCAACAGTATTGATCTGAGATTGACACAAGTACTCTTCCTAAAACATGTGCAACACGATTCGCAGATCTTTTACAAAAAGAGATAATGAAATTACCCTTATCATTTAGTAAATGCCCAATATCATCGAGAATAAGGAAAATGTAAGAAGAACCCCCTTCATTTTTCACTCCCTGGACCACCAAGAGAGCATCTGTTTCCACTTCCACATGTGACCAACCTGCCTCAGCCACTCCCATCAAAGCATCCCGAACACCCATTGTTTCTGTTTCCACCACTGACCAACTAGCTGCTTCGGAGACTCCTCTCGCCTTCAAGAAATTACCATAATGGTCCCGTGCCACCCATCCCCAGGCCCTAGTATGTGTGCTTTCGTCCACCGCTCCATCACCATGAATCTTTACAAAACCCTCTTGCGGACGCTTCCAAACCGTCAAGGAACTATTTTCTCTCCTAGACTGATCTGTACTCTTAGAGCCTTGCGCATCTCTCCATCCCGAGATAATTCCTGCCGCTGAGTTGATAACACCCGCCGCTCCTTGCCATTTGTCTTTCCAGACACATCAATTTCTCCTCTTCTACAGACTCCATAAAATAGCTATGAATCTGCATCGGTCTTCCCCATTTGGTCCACCCAGATGCCGCCATAACCACGTATTCACCGACTCTACCGGGATGCCCAAATCCACCCCCACGTTTCTCCAGACCTCTTTTGCTCTTTCACAAACCCGAAAAACATGATCAGTATCCTCAACCACATCTCCACACATTTACTATCTTGAATAGAAGTTTTGCTTGATCATAAAAAAATTATAGTAAAATCAACACTCAGCCATTTAATGGAGTAACTCGAATAAAACATGGGAGAGTTCCCATAAAACATCAACGCACGTATGGGTATGTTTGATCGTACTTAGCTAAAAAGATACTTTTACGAGCTTTTGGGTAACTGTTAGCTCTTAAAAAAATCTTAAAAAGAACAGGTATTAGTTGTTTGATAAAAAACCGACTGTTTGATTTAGCTCTATTTGATACTTTGATATACAAGTTGTTGAGACTAATTAATGTTAGAACCTATAAACTATCTGAGATGCTACTCACTATAGCATCTCATAAAACTTTATTTTTATAAAAGCTTTTAAAAATTGGCATGTCAAACATACAACTAGAAACTCTTAAAGACTTTCTAAATAGTGTTAAAAGCTAGAAATCAAGGACTTTTGTCTGTCAAACATAGCCATATGAAGTTAATTAATTGCGAACAGTAACACACAAACGCGTGTTTACTACTCCCTCCGTCCCGTTGGAATGTTCCCGTTCACTATTCATTGGTCAACTTAGATCACTCCTAATCTTTTACTTTATATATCAATTTTTTATCAAATTGAACTTTTCTTGATCAGGCTTTGTAGCGGTTTTAATGTAGTTTCTGAATATGTAAATTTTATTTACTAAAAATAAGCGTAGTGTGAACAGGGATCGAGTTGCTTTATCATCAGTCAAGCATCGTAAATCGAACGGGAACATTCCAACGGGGCGGAGGTAGTATTTGAACTTTGAAAAAAAAGTCGAAAGCCCTGACAAATAGCGCATTGTAAATTTTCAACACTTTAATTAAGGGGAGCCGGGAGCTCAATGGTACATGTACGTTATTTGGAGGTTTTGGTACATACATGAGCTGGACTAATAAAAGCATGCCACGCCATTCAATGGTGCAACGTTATACGTATACGAAGTATTAATTAATCAATAAACGACAACTATTTGCAATTTAATCCTCTTTTTCTTCCCACTATATTTATTCGTTTTTATTTTCATCCCACTATATCTATTCGTTTTTATTTTCATCCCATGTATCTTATTCTTTTCTATGGAATATTTTCTTTGGATTTTATGATTTTATCATTCTTTATTAATTATCTTATTTGTCATCAATTTGTTTTCCTTGACACTGAAAAAAAATTATCATCTTCTTCCTCCGTATTATCCTTCTTTAATGGTTTAGACTTATAAAATTTGTATTGGATATAAATCTTTTAAGGCATGTTTACCAAGGGATACATTTTCTAGTTTTTCATAAAATTGGAAAATTGGAAAAAGGGAAATAGATAACGTGTTTACCAAAAAATGCTAGAAAACTGGAGAAATGTAAACATGAAAATATGTTTATGGGAAAACTATCAAATAGGTCCTCAAACTTTCACAAAAAAGTCAATTAAGTCCTTCTATAAAAGACTCTGTCCGGTCGTCGCGATTTGGGGCAGTTCCCGGTGGAATTTTTTGATGAAATTTTTTGAGCATCTTACTCATCAAGTCTAGTTTACTCATACCAAATTTCAGCTAAAAATTTAATCGGGAGCACATTTAAATTAATTCGAGAACGCAAAAATGCGCAGTTAGCTTCCAGAATTAATTTGAATGTGTTCCCGATTGAATTTTTAGCTGAAATTTGGTATGAGTAAACTAGACTTGGTGAATAAGATGCTAAAACAATTTCATCTAAAAATTCCACCGGGAACTGCCCCAAATCGCGACGTCCGGACAGAACCCCCTATAGAAGGACTTAATTGACCTTTTTATGAAAGTTCGAGGACCTATTTGACAGTTTTCCCTACGTTTATAAAATCATTTTCAAAAAAATGTGTCTGTATTTTCCTTAATAAATTGGAGAAGTGAGTTTTACTAGTTTTTCAAATTTCAAAAACGGCGATGATGCAGTGTTGCTGCAATGAATTTGCATACTTACGCCTAGTGGTGAACCCGGTCCTGCTCTGATCTCAGTTCAAGTATGGTCCAGTCGATGACACGACGGTCCAATCCGGTCAAAGACCCGACAATCTCTGTCCGGTTCGATTAATGATCCAGCAGTCGATGTCCGTTCTAGCCGATGATCCGACAGTCCAATCTGGTCAACGACCTGACAATCCCTGTCTGGTCAGGTCAACGACCTAGCAATCCCTGTCCGATCCGTTTGATGACCCGGCGACCTCTGCCCGATGCAATCATTAACCTGACGGTCCCTATCCGGTCCGGTTAATGACTCGATTGTCTCTATCTCATGTAGTCAATGACCCAGCAGCCCCTGTCTAGTCTAATTGATGACCGGGTAGTCCCTGATTGGTCGGGTCAACGACTCGACGATCCCTTTCTGGTCTGTTCGATGACCTAGTGGTTAGGTCCCCGTTTTTTAAATCAGTTTTTCAAAGAGTTTCAAAAGAGCCGTTGGGACCGATCAGTTTCGGTCCCGACTTTCCTATACTCGGGTCTGGGTACCCTACTTAGGCTATACCAGATTTGGTTCCGAACGTGTAATACCCGAGATTAATTTAAAAGGATTAATAGTACTCCTCATACCAACAGAGGTGCATCTCCTTTTAAGGGAGCTCATCACCCAAGCGTGCTTGCACGGGAGTAGTCTTGGGATGGGTGACCCCTTGGGAAGTTTCTCAAGACGCACATGAGTGAGGAAAAAGTGCGCGGTAAAGGCTAGTGGCGGTTTGTGAGGACAGTACTAGAGGTCTGAAGTAACTACCTCGGGTTCTACAGGGCCGGGGTGTTACAGAACGAGGATATTATTTTCGATCTACCAGCTGGTCACATAACCAAGTGAAATTTTTTGATGAACATGTTTTCAGATTTGAAAATGAAAAACTGAAAAATGAAAAACAGAAAATTGGAGATGAAAAATTGAAAAGTTATAACATAAAATTCGAGAATGGAAAACAAAAAAGAAAATTGTAAAATATATGTATTAGTAAACGGAGGGTTAAACTTTTACTAGGCTTCTCAATATGGTTAAAAGGGGTTAAGCGCTAATTGAGCATCAGCCCAACGCCTAGACAGCTACACATGCGACTAGGAAGCAGAAGGCGATATGAAAGTGTTTGAATAGAAGTGTTGAAGTGCTTCTTAGTGCTCAAAATTGCTCCAAGATGCATTTGTTTAGAAAATGGGAGGACTACCTAATAAAAAAATTATTCTTACTTCTACTTTGTTAAAAAATAAAGAAAAACCAAGATCAATTCCATGCATCCCTTCTAATTAAATGGCACTATTGAAAATACATATGGCAGCAAATTAGAGAGATGAAAGCAAGAAATTGAATGGGCGGAAGCTGGAAAAGGAAGGAAAGGAAATCTATTGTTAATTTTTTTTTTGTATGTTTATCTTAAATATTGCTAATAAAAATGTCATGGACAAAAATGTGACTTAGTAATTACTAGTGACTATAATTGTGTTCAAAATTTAGATCACAAGAACTTACATTTAGTTACTA